TTTGTTTTTTCTTTCTTTTTTATATAGGTATATTCTGTAGAAAATTTCGATGAAGCAGTGTCCCGTGACACACCTTTCATATACGTAAATTCGCCCCTGGGTACGTATCTAACAAATTAATCCCGAGGATATTTTTTTTATTTTCATTTTAGGGTTTCAGAGGAATATAAAACAATTACAATAGTCACTATATATATCATCTTATCTTAAAATGTTAGGGTCTTTACAAACTCTAATATAGAAATAATATTCCAGCCTGTCCAAAGAAAGTGAAGAGACTGAACTTCGAACTACACATATTTGCTCTCTCTATTTTCTCAAGTACATATTTAGATGAGTGACACTTATCAAGTAAAATTTGTAAAATTCCAAATTAGATAATCATTTCGCAAGCATCCTAACTATAATTAAGAACATACAATTTTGCAGAACACACTCTAATTGCAATCAATATCCCCCACAAAACCTCAAGGGCGTTCATAAATAATTATAATAAAAGGCATCAACCAATTTATTTTAAAAAAAAAAAAATCATTATACTCAGCACAATTTCGGACTATTCGTGTATAACTAAATTAAAGAGCATCAAATCAAAGTATTCAAGTGTTCCCTAAACCTTCAAATGTATACCATATGAACTCTTATGCCGCTATTTATAGCGTAACATAGAGGCATACAAAAGGTTAGTCACAAACATGACATTAAACATGAATATAATGGAGGAGGTTATAGAGATGAAATTTTACAAGAATAATGGTCATAAAGGTGAAGGTTATCTCCATAAATCATAATGGAGGAAAGTAATGTAGATAATTGGTCAGAGTAACTTTTTGGTATAGTGGACATCCACACTATATTATTTTATAACAATATATAATATAAAGGAGAAACATATATAGACAAGATAATATGACACCTCTCTATGGTCTCCATTCATATTTATCTTTTTGATCTCATTTTTTGAGATTTTTTTCTTAATTCTTTTCATTAAATATTTTATTTATTAAATAAAAAATTTAATCATATTTACTATTTTAATTATATCTAATGAGTTACAAAAAACCTTCATATATTCATATTATCTACTTAAATAACATGTCTCTTCAAGTCTTTTCTATCTATTTTTATGGATTATCAAATTTATAAATATAACAATCATTCATGGAGATGTTGAATATTCATTTTTCATTTTCTCATTCTTTCTTTCGATTAGTGTAGTTTTTTTTTATAAAAAAAATATTCTTCATTTTTTCCATATGACAGGATATGTTCTTCATTTTGATGAAAGATCAAAGATATATTCTTCAAAGATTTATTACAAAGAGATGTTCACATTAGTTTAGTACAAGTTCATCAAAACGAAGAAGGAAACTTAATTATGTTGAAAGAAATATCAAGAGATGATCATATTAGTATAAAGTTTGAATGATTCCAATATTTTAAAGATTCATTAATGTGTTGTTTTGATTTCAATATTTTAAAAATTTGTCATGCTTGAAAAGTATATTATCTATGGTACATTTCTCATAGCTATTAGATATTGTTGTGCTTAAAAATCTATATATAATATAAGTTAGATGTTAAAAAAGTGAAGTTGCACCTCTCTTTGGCCAATGATTCTATTTATCTTTTTCCTCAATTTTTTGATAATTTTTCATATTTTTCTACTTATTTATTATTGTATAAGAAATAAATATATCAATTACTACTCCTCTATTTATTATTATAGTTAAATGTCTCAAAAATTATTTACACTCATTATTATAAATAGGGAAAAGGGTAAAAAATGCTCTTAAACTATGTGAAAGGAACAAAAATGTTCTTCGTTTATAGTTTGAATCAAAAATGCCCTTACCGTCAATACTTTGGTTAAAAGATCCTCTTGCAGTAAATACTCTGGTCCAAAAATGCCCTTTTTAGAATAAATATATTATTATTTTCTTTTTATACACATCTTCTTCCTAATTAAAATATTATTAAAGAACACTATTCTTGTTTACTTTCTTTTAAAATAACTTTAACAAATAAAAATGTAGGAATTCTTTTTTCTTCTTAATCTCATTTTATCAATCAAAATAGAATAACTTCATGTACCCTTTCGACAGATAATATATGTCATATATATAAGATCATAGTAAATCCATCATTAAGTTAAATATTATCACTATAAAAAATAATGATAATAAAATAAGAAATATTTTATTTTTTTCTGAATTGAAGTAACCTAATTTAAATAACATTATTAGAAAAAGAATGTGTTAAAAAGAAAATAATTTTATATTTATTTGAAAAATGAGCATTTTGACCCATTAAATAACAATAAGGGCATTTTTGGACCAAAATATTGACTGTAAGGGCATTTTTTAACCAAAGTATTGACGGTAAGGGCATTTTTGAGCCAAACTATAAACGAAGGACATTTTTGTTCCTTTCACATAGTTTAAGGGCATTTTTTACCCTTTTTCCCAAAAAAATAAAGTCTCAATATTTACTATTTCAAGATATTTGTCTCTTTTTTTATTGTATTTTTTTTTCTCTTTAAATTTTGTTAAACACAATGGAGTAGTACAGAAAGAGAAGAAGTTGATTTGTTTGCTTTCCTAATAAAACTTAAACACCCAATGAACGTTGAATAGTTTCATGAGTTTTTAATTTGTCTTCATTATTTTATTTTATTTATTTTAAAATACCTCCATAACTTATACCTGTTGAACTTCTACTTTAGTTAATATTATTAACTCATTTTCTTTAAATTTTCATATGCATAACCCCCTACAATTTAATTTCAAAATCTAAGATACCTTATGATATTCTTTCAATTTTGTCTATATAAATTCACATTTTTTGTTTTATAAGATTCCTACTTAAGATTATTATTTTTATTCCATATTTGAAATAGTGATATTCTATATTATTGTTGTAGTATCAAATTTATACTAATTTAGTTTAACTCCATGAAAAGGCTCTTGGATATAGATAGAAGGGTTGTCGGGTAAGAGCTCAAAAATAATTGTATTGATTATGTAAAAAAAAAATTCATCTTTGTTTTTGTGATTAAGGACTTAACAAAATTGTGTTGTTATTTTTCTCTTTTTGCTTTACTTTTTCATATGTTCTCTCTATAAAAAAAAATTAATTTAGGTTCTTATTAATTCATTTAGGTTCAAATTAGTTATTTTTAAGTTTTAACTTTATCATAACACAGCTAACTACGACAACATACGTTCAAATTTTACTATTCATGGCTCAAAAGAAATACATATTAAATATTGAAATACGCAGTTCTTAGGTGTTTCTTATATGAAGAACCATTTACATTTTCTTTAAATTTGTTCATTTCTTCTACTTTTAAAGAATTATCAGAATAATATAAGATATATACGAAAAAAGCAATAGAAGTTTATTTAGGTGATGATGAAAATAAGAGAAATATATCTATTTAGATGATGATGAATAAGAGAAAAAACAAGTACAATAAACGGATCAAATATCAAAAAATAAATAAAATAGAAATACTTATCTTTTTTTCCTCCTATTTTTAGTTTTGTCACTTTTTTATTCCAATGAAAGGAAGATTCATCGGACAATAAATTTATCATTTAACAAAAATAAGAAAAAAATCAAGTCCTTCAATATGTTTATTTAAATTATATGTATTATCGTCATAATGTATGATTTTTTTCCTTAATGAATTAGTCTTTTAATTTTGAAAAATATTTGATAATAAAAATATAATTCACTTAAGCTCTATTTCTACAAAAATATTTTGTATTGTGATTTTATCATTTTCTTATTTCTATAGTTGATATTTTAGTTCCTTATATCATAATTAATTTTTAAAATAAATTTACATATAATTTTCATGACTGTGCGAAGTGCAGCCAAATTCCCTAGTATCTAATAATTTGTGGTTTGTTATTCAAGATAGTTGGAATACCTTGTAGGAGTAGTTACCACTCCCTCTATTCCGTATTAATTGAATCTATGAAGCAATACACACATATTAGGAAAAACATTCAGGAACATAGTTTAATCCATGATTTTCACTATTATCTTTTATGAAATCATAAATATAACTAGTTTCATCTCGTGGAGAATATAAAACTTCAATAAATGAAAGGACAAATATGAAAAAAAAATATAAACACCAATCTTGAACTTTGAACGATTTAATTAGTTTGAACAATAAAAAAAATCTCAAAAATTCAGTTAATATAGAATAGAAGGAGTAATTACTACTCGAAAATTGAGACAGCCAAACACAATTTACATGAAAAACACTTTTCAAATGAATTAGTAAAACACAAATTATTATTTTTTCTAAAGTATTTTTTTCTAAAATGTTATTTTTAAAAAAATTCTAATAATAAGCAGTTTTTAGTAGTAATGACAAACACACTCTTAGTTTCAATCCGATTTAACATGTCTCAATTAATTTAATATTAAATAAAAATCTATCCGATTCTTTGGGTATGATTATAAATTTATATTTAAAAAATCTTAAAATCCGATAACGATTTAATCGATTTATAGTCCGTTAAGATAAGGTGAGAAAAAAAATAGTTTTTAAGTCAAAGAAATAAAAAGTCAAACTTCTAAAGACTTTTAAGTAAAAAAATAAAAAATAGCGAGAATTCTACTTTTAATTTTTAATTTTTTTTTAAGTCATTATAAACTTAGTTTAAATTATTTTTAACCTTGCCAAATATTTTCAAAAACTAAAAAATGACTTAAAAATAAATTTAACCAATTTTATTTTTTTTTGACAAATAATTTAACCAACTTTTATATCAATCCAAATAGACATTCAAGTCGATTTTTTTTTTTGGCACCCCTACCAACCCCATCCTTTTCACTTTATAAAATCCTAAAGAAAAATAAATAAAATAAGCAGCTATTTTGAAAATTAGATTTTGAGAGTGGGTAGCGTACCAAATTATCTCCGGAAACTACTCAACATGTTAACTAAATTATAGCAACACTGTACACATAATTTAATATTACATGATGGAAAATATTTCGAACAGTAACATTCACTGAAATTGGAGATTTTTTTCACTAACAAATGAAACATAGGAGATAACCTAAGGTTATAACACCTCCTAAGCAAAAAGTTCATCGATCTATCACTCCAAAAAAAAAAAATCACCAAAAAAACAAAATCAATCAAAGAAATATACAAAATTAATCTAATTAAATAGTCACAATGACTACAAATTAGTTGTAGGCATGTTTTCAGCAATTTGCAATCGCTATTTGCGCTAGCGATTGCAAATTGCAACGTACAATTGTATCAACGAATACACACGTTTCTTCCTTTGTATTCCCTGTTGGAATATCCACTACGTACGATTCCACCACCACCGTTCCGTTTTCATCATCCGCCGGATGCAGCGTCGTCACCGACCGGTAATTGTTCAGCCTGTGATCGCCGCCGATGACGCTGAAACTAATGACGTGTTCATCATCGTCTAAGATTTCTAATCTCTCCTTGCTAGATGCGGCAGGGAGGCCGGAAATTACCTGAACCTCCCTTAATGTGCCGACGTTTCCGTCTCCGACGATGACGTGGCAGCTTTTGAGAAAATGCTTATAAGCTTGCGGATTGTCGAATCGGCGGACTAGTGACCATACGGCGTCGATCGGGGCGGAGATGGTCTGCACCACGGCGGAGCAGCACTGATTGGGGCTTACAGCGTGGGTGTGGTAATGTAAGTGATTGTTAGGGACTGAGAACTGCACCGGGATAATCCATGTCGGTTGAGGCGGTTTGTGGAAGTTTCCGGCGAGAGTGGTGGTGATTGTGTGGTTGATCCTCTGCAGCTGAAGTGAACAAGGCATTTCTATTATTACTACTCTCTTTTTCTTCTTCAAAGGAGAGAGGTGAGGATGGAGTACTCTTTACATATACATATGGTGATAGATGGATATATATACAAAATGCATATAGAGAGAAAATTGAGGTGTTTTATTAAATAATATATTGGTATTTAGTCGGTTACAATTTAAGGTGACATATATGATACAATAATAAGCACTATTTTAATGATTTTTTGAAAACCTCTAATGTAATAAAAGTTTATTCTTCCTTTGTAGTTAGTGTCTTAATTATTTTTTTAGTTCTTTTTTTTAAAAAAAAAATTATTATTAATAACGAGCCAAATTCTAATAGATTTTTGACAAAATGCGAATTTTTGATTAATAGTAATTTGTATATGTGAGCCATTTTTGTAACCATAAAGTTATATGTGAGTCACCGCCATTCATATTAAAAAGAATTTCTATGTGTTTAGCCCATAAAAAGAAGCAGGCTCGTACATGAGGAGACATGTTATAATATAATCACTATCTCTAACAACTTAAACTTTTAGATAAGATGGTAACACGCTTCAATAACTTATATTAAAATTAAGGTCTAACTAATCTATTGAAACAAGTGTTAAGAAATTTTATTCTTTAAAAATGCTACTTTAGTTTTTTTTTTTTTTTTTCAAAAACGTCAATTTTGTTAAATAGAAAAAGAATTAAGTAATTTGCTTTTAAAAATATTTTCTTAAATATACTTTCCGTAATGCTAAACACGCCAAAAAAGAATATAAATGTGTGTGTAGCCTAGTTGTGTTAGTTTAATCTTTCCTAGAATAGAGAGATGGTTTTTTTCATGCAAGTTGATCGATCAACTTGCATACAACTCATCTAAACAGAGTCTATAATTAAACTGCCCTCGTCCTTTCCCTATAATTACGTAATCTGCCTTCCTTCTCTCCCCTTAATGAAAATGACATAATAGCCCTTGGATCTTCTTCTTCAAAAGGCTACAAAGTAGCCACGTCACTCTTAAGCGGTTCCGCGTCCTGGCGACCTGCGAAAATACGCAATAATAACGAGGCAACCGTAAGATAAAATGTATCAGTATTGTGATACTATAAAATATTATTTACGTAGTTTTAAATTTATAAATTTTATGTTTCAATTTATGATCAAAATTAAAAAATTGACGTTTGAATTCAAACTATGTAATTGGGACAAAGGGAGAAATAATAGTTGTTGATGATAAGACTTTTGTAACTTATGATACACTATTAAATATTATCCTAACATTTTTTACTATAAAAGTTTTTCATTAACGAAAAGAGAACTAGTCATAAATAGAAATGTGTATTGGTCGATTTGGTTTAATTTTGAATTTTATCGATTCGACTTATTAATTATCGATTTGTAGGCATATTAAATTATTATAGAACTATTAAGATATTGACTTATCAGTTATCGATTTAATCATTAAGAATTCACACAACAAAATAAATGATTGAAAATCACTTAGAAACATGATGACAGATCAAATAAACCATGCACATGAGTTGGTTGATTGCATCTTATTCTCAAGTAATACTGACACATTGTAGAATAACCGTAAGTTTGAGACAACCAGAAATTAAAATATGAAACTAAACCCTAAGTCATGGATTTTATACACCGAATAGTATACTATAATCTACAGTATTAATTTATTATCGAGTTATCGGTTAACCCATTAAGAAAAAACCTCAGATTGTTAAGAACAAATAAATCTATGATAAAAAAATTAAAATTGTTATTGAAATCATTAAACCAATAACCCATTACCGATAAATTAATAATTTTTTCCGATTTAAATTATCAATTTCAATTCGATTGTTGAGTTAACTTTCGATCGAGGACTACCGATGAAAAATGTTTGTAGTGTCAATTCCTTTCGATTAAACAACCTTAATCATAAACTAAAATGTCTTGACTAATTTAAAAGATCATTTAACGTAGTTGACATAACTGAATTTGATTATAAAATTTGTATAGTTCATTTTTTAACAGACTAATGAAATATTCTTGTAAAGATATTACAGAAAACTTGTCTTATGAACTTGGACTAGAAGCACTTAGGCCGCATTTTGTCAAAAATCTATTAGAATTTGGCTCGTTATTAATAATAATTTTTTTTTTAAAAAAAAGAACTAAAAAAATAATTAAGACACTAACTACAAAGGAAGAATAAACTTTTATTACATTAGAGGTTTTCAAAAAATCATTAAAATAGTGCTTATTATTGTATCATATATGTCACCTTAAATTGTAACCGACTAAATACCAATATATTATTTAATAAAACACCTCAATTTTCTCTCTATATGCATTTTGTATATATATCCATCTATCACCATATGTATATGTAAAGAGTACTCCATCCTCACCTCTCTCCTTTGAAGAAGAAAAAGAGAGTAGTAATAATAGAAATGCCTTGTTCACTTCAGCTGCAGAGGATCAACCACACAATCACCACCACTCTCGCCGGAAACTTCCACAAACCGCCTCAACCGACATGGATTATCCCGGTGCAGTTCTCAGTCCCTAACAATCACTTACATTACCACACCCACGCTGTAAGCCCCAATCAGTGCTGCTCCGCCGTGGTGCAGACCATCTCCGCCCCGATCGACGCCGTATGGTCACTAGTCCGCCGATTCGACAATCCGCAAGCTTATAAGCATTTTCTCAAAAGCTGCCACGTCATCGTCGGAGACGGAAACGTCGGCACATTAAGGGAGGTTCAGGTAATTTCCGGCCTCCCTGCCGCATCTAGCAAGGAGAGATTAGAAATCTTAGACGATGATGAACACGTCATTAGTTTCAGCGTCATCGGCGGCGATCACAGGCTGAACAATTACCGGTCGGTGACGACGCTGCATCCGGCGGATGATGAAAACGGAACGGTGGTGGTGGAATCGTACGTAGTGGATATTCCAACAGGGAATACAAAGGAAGAAACGTGTGTATTCGTTGATACAATTGTACGTTGCAATTTGCAATCGCTAGCGCAAATAGCGATTGCAAATTGCTGAAAACATGCCTACAACTAATTTGTAGTCATTGTGACTATTTAATTAGATTAATTTTGTATATTTCTTTGATTGATTTTGTTTTTTTGGTGATTTTTTTTTTTTGGAGTGATAGATCGATGAACTTTTTGCTTAGGAGGTGTTATAACCTTAGGTTATCTCCTATGTTTCATTTGTTAGTGAAAAAAATCTCCAATTTCAGTGAATGTTACTGTTCGAAATATTTTCCATCATGTAATATTAAATTATGTGTACAGTGTTGCTATAATTTAGTTAACATGTTGAGTAGTTTCCGGAGATAATTTGGTACGCTACCCACTCTCAAAATCTAATTTTCAAAATAGCTGCTTATTTTATTTATTTTTCTTTAGGATTTTATAAAGTGAAAAGGATGGGGTTGGTAGGGGTGCCAAAAAAAAAAATCGACTTGAATGTCTATTTGGATTGATATAAAAGTTGGTTAAATTATTTGTCAAAAAAAAATAAAATTGGTTAAATTTATTTTTAAGTCATTTTTTAGTTTTTGAAAATATTTGGCAAGGTTAAAAATAATTTAAACTAAGTTTATAATGACTTAAAAAAAAATTAAAAATTAAAAGTAGAATTCTCGCTATTTTTTATTTTTTTACTTAAAAGTCTTTAGAAGTTTGACTTTTTATTTCTTTGACTTAAAAACTATTTTTTTTCTCACCTTATCTTAACGGACTATAAATCGATTAAATCGTTATCGGATTTTAAGATTTTTTAAATATAAATTTATAATCATACCCAAAGAATCGGATAGATTTTTATTTAATATTAAATTAATTGAGACATGTTAAATCGGATTGAAACTAAGAGTGTGTTTGTCATTACTACTAAAAACTGCTTATTATTAGAATTTTTTTAAAAATAACATTTTAGAAAAAAATACTTTAGAAAAAATAATAATTTGTGTTTTACTAATTCATTTGAAAAGTGTTTTTCATGTAAATTGTGTTTGGCTGTCTCAATTTTCGAGTAGTAATTACTCCTTCTATTCTATATTAACTGAATTTTTGAGATTTTTTTTATTGTTCAAACTAATTAAATCGTTCAAAGTTCAAGATTGGTGTTTATATTTTTTTTTCATATTTGTCCTTTCATTTATTGAAGTTTTATATTCTCCACGAGATGAAACTAGTTATATTTATGATTTCATAAAAGATAATAGTGAAAATCATGGATTAAACTATGTTCCTGAATGTTTTTCCTAATATGTGTGTATTGCTTCATAGATTCAATTAATACGGAATAGAGGGAGTGGTAACTACTCCTACAAGGTATTCCAACTATCTTGAATAACAAACCACAAATTATTAGATACTAGGGAATTTGGCTGCACTTCGCACAGTCATGAAAATTATATGTAAATTTATTTTAAAAATTAATTATGATATAAGGAACTAAAATATCAACTATAGAAATAAGAAAATGATAAAATCACAATACAAAATATTTTTGTAGAAATAGAGCTTAAGTGAATTATATTTTTATTATCAAATATTTTTCAAAATTAAAAGACTAATTCATTAAGGAAAAAAATCATACATTATGACGATAATACATATAATTTAAATAAACATATTGAAGGACTTGATTTTTTTCTTATTTTTGTTAAATGATAAATTTATTGTCCGATGAATCTTCCTTTCATTGGAATAAAAAAGTGACAAAACTAAAAATAGGAGGAAAAAAAGATAAGTATTTCTATTTTATTTATTTTTTGATATTTGATCCGTTTATTGTACTTGTTTTTTCTCTTATTCATCATCATCTAAATAGATATATTTCTCTTATTTTCATCATCACCTAAATAAACTTCTATTGCTTTTTTCGTATATATCTTATATTATTCTGATAATTCTTTAAAAGTAGAAGAAATGAACAAATTTAAAGAAAATGTAAATGGTTCTTCATATAAGAAACACCTAAGAACTGCGTATTTCAATATTTAATATGTATTTCTTTTGAGCCATGAATAGTAAAATTTGAACGTATGTTGTCGTAGTTAGCTGTGTTATGATAAAGTTAAAACTTAAAAATAACTAATTTGAACCTAAATGAATTAATAA